TTCCTGTCAATCAGTTTTTCATCTTTTCACTGTTTTATATAGTTTATATAGCTGAGATATATCTGTACTGCTAAATTTCTATATTTTATTTTTACTTGTACATATACACTTGTAATTATTATTAAAGGTGCATTGTGTAACATTTTGTCCATCACCTGCTTGTTTCTATGGATATGTCATTGCTCTGCCTGGAATATTCCACAGCAGAGGTGAACACTTGCAAGTCATGACTTGGACTCAAGTCAGACTTGAGTCAATATTTTTAGGACTTAAGACTTGACTTGAAAAAATGGACTAAGATTTAGGACTCAATTTCGACTTGAAGGTCAGTGACTTGGGACTTGACTTGGACTTGGGGCCTGTGACTTCAGAAGACTTGATACTTGTCCTAAAAACATATATTTTTAGAAAATACTTTTCTCTTTTTAAATATATAATAATAAATGCAGCACTGTGATATAGTATCTTTAAATGTACTACAGTAATACACAGGACTATGTAGTAATATACAGTACTATTTTAAATCTGAATTCTTTCTATTCTGACCATAATGATTCACACTAAATTTTTGTCAAGACATTTTAAAAGGAAAAAATTGCATTTCTACAACTCATACTCATACTCATACTCATTCTATACTCACATATAAAAAAAATATGACTTTTAAAGTACAGTTTAGTTTAAAAGTCATATAAATTGCAAAAATCTAAGCTGTATTTAGTATTTTGGTTTAAAGACTTGAAATGACTTGAAGCTCAAAGCAGATGACTTGGATTTGACTCAGACTTATGGGCCAGTGACTCGAGACTTGACTTGGACTTGCCTGTCTTTGACTTGGGACTTGACTCAGACTTGAGGTCAAAGACTTGAGACTTACTTGAGACTTGCAAAACAACGACTTGGTCCCACCTCTGTTCCACAGTATGACATTAAACGACTCTATCTTACATTTATTCAATTACAGGTGGTTTTAAAATAAAAAAAATATCTAGAAAAACAGGCATTCTGACTTCTGAGCGAAGGTTGCATCTCCACAGATCTGACCTGTAACTTGGTCTGGTTTGGTCTCAATGAAGATAGAAAGGATCAATACCATACTGCGAAACATTCCAGACAGAGCAATAACATCTTCATGGAGAAAAGCATTTGACGGAAGCTCCACCGAAAACGTACACAATGCACCTTATTTGACACCATTTTACTACTAATTTTGCTACTTATTTAAAATGTATTATCACCATTTAGATTGCTCTTTGTTATTATAATATATTGTGATGTGTGATCTACTGTGTCCAAATAATTCTCCTTGTGGATCAATAAAAATAGTCTAAGTCTAAGTAAATATGCATAATCCAGGAGTTTCGATATTCGACTGTAGGCATGTTTGACATCCAGGCCACAGACACATTATTTCAAGTCTGCTGGCATCTAATGAAGAGGCTGTACTCAGGGATAATCTCTCATGGGGAATAAGTATGTTACAGAAGGTTCTAATGAAGAAAAGAAGTGGACAGCAGCAGGAGCTCTGGTGTGCTGTAGCTTACACTAATGCGCTCACTCACTTTGACTCTGCACCCACACATGAGGCTGTCTAGTAAAAAGGCAGACTTATCTATAATGTTGACTGCAAGAATGTTTACATATACACCCCAGAAATTATAATTAAAGGTCCTATGTTACGCAAAATTGACTCTTGTGAGTTTCATAGCCATTTTAGAATGTCAGTACTTCCTCAAAAACATACCTGCAATTGTGTTTTGTTTCATTCACACATGTTCGAGTAACACTTTATTACAAGAGATAAGGTTTAGATTAGGCTGATTCTGACCAATCAGTTTGGTTCCCTGCTGCATTTTGTGGTTGTTACTAAATTAGATCGACTCCATTAGGATAGACTGCTTTTGCCTTGGCATTTTGGATCTTTACTGTGAAAATTTTTACTGAGAATTTTGACTGTTGAATTTGAGGACTTGAGAATATATGTGCTGAAAATTTAAAAGGTGAAGTTTTCATGTTGAATTTTTACACACATCAACTATTTACTTCACAACGGAAATTCTGAATAAAAACAAATATGTTGCAGGATTCAATTTTCAGATCAGCGAACAAACACTCTGCCAACTGAATTTTTATTTACACAATGCTATTCGGCAATAGCCTGATTCAGTCTGACCTTGCAGCATTAGAATTCGTTCGCTCGACGGTAGGCGGGTACTTTTTTCACTTAACCAATCACTGCTATTTGGTCATGATGTATGTAATGCGCCGCTAACAGGGCTAACTAGTATATTAAACTTTTCCCAAATCCTGCAGGAAGAAGGACAATAATGTCTTTCCCCTTGATAAAATTCACTGAACATTCTCTTTGTTCCGGCTTTAAATCCTTGATCTCTGGAATCGTTGCCAACACAGGATATATGGCTCTTCCCTGATTGGCTGGTGCCTGAACTCGCACTTCCGGGGTTCTTAGAAACCGTCTAGTGTATTCTGATTCCTGATGTAGTCGCTGGAGAGAAATAAAACTGAGTGGTGGCTCTAGGTGGTGCCAGCCTAAGAAGAAAAATAAAAGAAAAAACATCAAAAGCTATGCACAATATGAGCAATATGAGTTTAGGAAAAGGACCACGAAGTTCATTCATCTCTCAGGTACTTGAGAGATAAATAAAAGCTACACAACACATCTGGATCAGTTTAGCCTTATTTTGTTTTTGCTTAAAGGAAATAAATGCTGTTTTCATCTTCTGCCATAGACTGTATATATAAATCTCCGCATTCCAAATATGAAGTGACCATGGGGGTGCTTCTGGCTCCAATTGACTTTACATGAAAAATTGTCACCCCTCTTTAACTGTTTTGGTGTTTTTCTTGTGCTATTTTGTCCTATTCTTAACATGGAATTTGGCTCCAAATGTGCCCCTATAACTACTAACGTTGAGTTGAGCCAAATGCTATGAGTGACGTCACACTCTATTAGTCCACTTCTTTATACACTCTCTGGTCTCTGCACTAGTATAGATTGACATCGGGTGTTGGCAGATATTTATAGGTTTAGTATTGAAATCAGTATTGGAACTGAAAAAGCTGGATCCGTAGTTATAATCAAATCTCTGTCGTTTGGATTTCTCACAAAAAATAGCTGCTTTGAGATTATAATTGTGCTGAAAATGCAACCATTTGGTTCATAAATTATTCATTCCAAGACAAGGTGGAGAAAAGAGTCTGATTAGGTTCATTAGGTCGTTTTAATAATTCAGAGATACAAGTCTGACTATAAGAATATCTAAATTAATTAAGTTGGAGGAAGAACTTACCCAAGGACATGTAAAATTCAACAGTCATTAGACCCACACATCTGCTTTGGGCTAGTATTGCTAAATGAGCTTGTATTACACATTTCTGGATGATCATGGATTCTTATGCGCATTTACATGTATGAGCAGGAACCTGAATGGGCCAAAGGAGACGAGGACAAAGCCAAAGCGTTTTCACTGCACTGACAGCCGTTCATTCATGTAATTGGGGGCAATACATAGTCACAAATGGAGCTAACACATGCATGTCTTTAGGTGGTCTAACACAAAAGTGAAAAGAGTAAATTGACTCTTGTGAGCTTTAAGCCATGTTAGAATGTTGTTATCTTGTCAAAAACATACCTGGAGTTGTGTTTTGTTTCATTCACACACATTTGAGTAATTTTTTTGTTGTTCTTTCTACATCTCCAGCTCATAAAGTGCTCTGTCATAAAGCAGTAGTTCTCAAGTTAACAGCTACCTTTTATCTTTTGTTCAGAAGAGATTGGCAATTCCAGAGCTGAAATTATCCAACTGATTCTATTTGTATGAAGTCTAAAAACACAGAGGAGCACTTCTTGTATAACCACATGAGATCACAAGTATTTTTTCTGTTTGAAAGAAGAACTCAACCTAAGAGTGTGAATTAAATAAAACACAACTCCAGGTATGTTTTTGATGAGGATCATTGATCAGAAAATAACCTAATATGAACTTTTTAAGTTAAGGTACACTTTGTTGTCCCCATAGGGAAATTTTCCATCTGTATTTGACATGTCCTTCTGTACCAGGAGCAGTGGGCAGCTGTGGTACTGTATCTCGGGACCCATCTCCAGCTCTTGAGCTGAACAGACCTTGGTATGGCTTTAAACATCTATCTCCATGGAGACAAGCAGGTGATGACACCAGGTGGACCCACAAGTATTAATGCTTGGAGATACGAGTCTACTAATAATAAGAATGCATGTTTTTATGTATTTTTGAGCAATAAAAAATGTAGTTGTATAAATGTAATGTCTGTTCCAATACTGTGAAATTTTCCAGATGGATCTCAAATGGTAAACATTTTATTCTCACAGTTAAAAGGCAGAATATTACTCAATTTTCTGCTGTACACTGTAATGTTGTTTCTTCATTACAATCATACCTAGAGTTGTGTTTTTTGTTTCATTCACACATGTTTAACCCACAGATTCGATGTCTTTAGTCTTCTTTAAAGTTCTTCTCTCATCCATTTTGTTTTTAAACTCCATACTTCTTCACAAGAATCAGCTGGATAATTTTTGCTCTGGAACTGCCTATTTCTACTGAACAAAAGATAAAAGGTAGCTGTTAACTTGAAGACTACCACTTCATGACATCACAAGTTGGAACAGACCATTTTGCGCTTTGGAGATGTAGCTAGACTAAAAATGCAGGATTACTTAAACATGTGTGACTGAAACAAAAGACAACTTTTGACAAGGTAACAACATTCTAAAATGGCTAAAAGCTCACAAGAGTCAATTTCACTTAATACAGGACCTTTACATTTTTTTTCAGTAATTAAAATACTTTCACCGTATAATTCAAGCACTCACAAAAAAATACCACTGGTCCATAGTTGGCTGCAGTCGTCTTCTGTCTGTCTGTTTTTCTTCTTTTGTTTGCAGACATCCAGGGAGCAGTTAGCACCTCATCCGACACGGGCCGCTCGACGTCATCAAAGCACCGGCGCCCAGGTGCTGACGGGACCCCCACCCTCCCTCACCCCCATCGCCCCCCGCAGACCCGATCCGGCACCTGTCTGACAGCCGATGACACCTCGCTTTTCATCTAACCGTGTACCCTACTTCAAAGTGAGAGCGGGGGAATCCCAGTTTTACCATTTCGTATAGGCTATATTTGTCTATCTAATCTCTTTCTCTATTGTAAGGTGTGAGGAGATTATAGCGTGCGTTTTCCTTGGATGTCAAATACAAGGTTGGAGGAAATGGGCACTTAAGATCATTAGGGCCACATCATATGGAACCGGAGCCGCATAACAACCGAGCAGGCTGCAAATGAGATTATAGGATATTTTCTTTGAACTAACTCGAGGGCTTTGTTGCTGTGTACGTCTAATTAAATGTGGAGAAAATCTTTACTGCAGGCGATGCTATAATGCTCATTTTCATAATAATCTTCAATGTAATGCAAGGGTTCCTGTTTTATACTCTGAAATACATTTTTCTCTCTGCTGTGTTAGTACTAAAATGTGTGCTGTGTAACATTTTGGTTGGGAGTCTGTCACCTGCTTGTTGCTATGGATATGTCACTGCTCTGCTCTGAATGTTCCACAGTGCGACATTAAACAACTCTACCTTACATTTATTGAATTGCAGGTGGTTTAACAGCTCACAAATACCTAGAAAAACAGGCATTCTGACTGTGAGCGGGGTTGCCTCTTCACAGATCTGACCCGTAACTTGGTCTGGTTTGGTCTCCATGAAGATAGAATGATTAAATACCGTACTGTGAAACATTCCAGACAAAGCAATAACATCTTCATGAAGAAAAGCATTTGACGGGTCCTCCGCTAGAAAAGTTACACACTGCACCTTCAAAGTAGCCTGATTCATCAGCCAGTTTCACTTTGTAGAAGCCGTTTGACCTTGCAGCATTAGAATTAATTCGCTCAACAGGAGGCAGGTTCATTTTTATTGAACCAATCGCTGCTATTTGGTCGTGACGTATGTAATGCGCCGCTAATGGAGCTAACTGGTATATTAAGCTTTTCCCAAATCCTGTAGGAAGAAGGGCAATAACGTCTTTCCCTTTGATAAAATTCACCAAACATTCTCTTTGTTTCGGCTTTAAATCCTCAATCTTGGGAACTGTTGCCAACACTGAATGTATGGCTTTGTCTACATCCATCTCGGCCGGGGATTCAGTCATGGCTTCACAGCTCTTCGCTGATTGGCCGGTCCGTGGTCTACAACTTCCGGGGTTCTTGCAAACCATCTAGTGTATTCCAATTCCTGACCTAGTTGCTGGAGAGAAATGAAATTGAGCGGAGGTACTAGGTGGCGCCAGTCTGGCTACCTTTAAAGGGCCTATATTATGCAAAATTTACTTTTGTTACCTCATCAAAATCATACAGTACCAAGAGTTGTGTTTTGTTTCATTCACACATGTTTGAGTAATCCTGGTTCCACCTTGTGATTTCATGTAGCAGTCATTTTCAAGTCAACAGCTCCTACCTTGAGTCCAGGAGAAATTGTCAATTCCATGTCTGAAATCATCCAAATTATTCTAGTGAAGGTGCATGGAGTTTAAAAACACAGAGGAGCATTCCCTGTATTACCTCATGACATCACAGAGTGGAACAGAGTGTTTTCTTTTTGAGAGAAGAAGGCTAACTTCGCAGGATTTGTGTGTTTGAAGCGTGAATGAAACAGAACTCAATCCCAGGTATGTTTTTGATAAGGAAACAACATGATAACATAGATCAGAGAACAGCGTAAATTTGCTCTAGTACAGATACAAAAGTTGTAAAAGCTGCTCTTCAAAATTATATGCTGTTAGAATGCTAGTTGTTTTAGGGTTGCAAAATTAATCGAAATGCAATTTGAATGAGCTCAATTATCAAAGGCAAAGGCTGCAGTTGCTGAGAGACCGCAAATTCCTCCGCAAACAACTAAATATCCTGTCATAATCTGCACAAACACTGCTAAAATTTTAGTTTAGATCTGCGCAAACTTGTTCTGAAATGTGGCTCTTCTGTTGGTTTGTCAGTTTATATTTCAGTCTTTTTATCAATTCTGCTGGACATATTTAAAGTGTGAACTTTGAACACAATCCACCAACCAGTTACATCACCTTAACTTTGATAGCAATGTAGCAACTATAGTATTTTAGACCTGGTACAGCCCTAATTTAGACAGACTGAGACCAATATCGTCTTAGGATGTACCTGGTGGACAAAGTTTGTTAATAAGGACTTAAATAGCATTTTTATAGCAATCTTTTCGCATCTTTAGGCATATTTTCAGTGTCAATTTTGAAGATTAGTCAGTCTATAGTCAGTGATACAGTGATACTGTACAGATTTTTAAATGTTATTTATTTATTTAATAGGGACAGTGCATATTAATGAACATCTACAACACTGCAGTGCAAATATGCCAGATTATAGCAAGAATGCTGTAGTCCCTAGGCAGGTAACACCACAAATTTAACAGAGAAAAAACAACAACAAGTGACAGTTCTAAAATAAAAGTGTCCACAAGTCTGGTTTTCCTTTAGCCACTGTTTCAAGTGGGATTTCAAAGTGGCCAGTGTTGGAATCTCTCTTATTGATAGGATAGTGCAGGAGACTGTTCCAAAACGTAGTGCCTCTGACTGAGAGCAAAATTTGTCCGAATGTTCATTAATATGCACTGTCCCTTTTAAATAAAAACTGTCCCTATTAAATAAATAAATAAAAATAAAAAGTCTGTACAGTTCACTCACTATAGGCTGACTAATCTTCAAAATTGACACTGAAAATATGCCTAAAGATGTGAAAAGATTGCTATAAAAATTATATTTAAGTACTGGTTAACACATTTTACACATCAGGTACAACCTAAGAAAATATTGGTCTCTGTGCGGGACCTCACAGTTCCCCCAGGCTGTGGCCCTACTTCCCATCCCACTTACAGTCTTTACTTTAATGAAATCCTGTAACAGAGGGGGGGCAAGTCCATACAAAAACTTATAAATAAAACATCCATATTTAAAAGCAACTAAATTATTCAAATTAAGCAAATTGTACTTGTCTAAAATAGTGCAGTGGTGAAATGAGAGTGGTTTCTTGTCCAGCATATTAGAGGAACACACATGAGTTGCTCAAAAATGCATGGATGACAAAATACATCTCCAAAAAGTCTACAATTTCTGGTGAGGAAACATTATAACATCACATTATAATAAGTCAGAACATATTTGCAATTCAGTATAACAGACTGTCATAAACACGATTCTCCAGACTCTACAGACTAAGGCCGTATATTTGCTTTAGTGCAGCGTAAATGTTCACCACACACTTTGTAGAAGACTAATATCACACAGGCTTCTGGAGGAGATGGACTGTAATTACTATATTTCACATGTTTGGTGACGCTAGTTTGCTAGAAACAGAAACTGCTGTCCTGGAAGTACACATATTTTACGCACATTGTTTAGTCTCACGGTCAAAGGACCTGCACCTGATTTGAACTTCTTCTGGTTGAGATAAATGGCTTTTCATCCAATTAAGAACATTGTTTGATCATTGGATACAACTGCTTGACACTATGACAGACTAGGGATGCACTGAAACTGAAAAATTTGCTGTATCAGATATTGGCTTCCAAATATCATTACAACTGATATCCTGTTTGGACATATAAACTGATGTAATAAAACTATTTATTGGTCATATTTGGACCAGAAAATCTCATAATGTTTGGATTTTGATTCGTACAAAGCTGCTTGAGAGATAAATAACAGCTGGAGAACCCATTTGGATCCATTTTGTCTTATTTATTTATTTTCTGCACTGGTATCGGTTAATATCGGGCAACAGGTATCGCAACTGAAAAAGCCTTATTAATGCATCTTTATGTCAGACAATAGATCTGTCATGGAGAATTTTTAAGACTAAAAAATACAACATGAGTCGGCGCTTTTGAAGGGTTCCATAATGTGTTAGTATCGAATCTCATTTTTTAAAAGAACCGAATCCTTTTCTTTTCACGTTGTATGTATTTTTTACACTGAAAACGATACACAGAAGCAGAGTAAGCAAAATGCAGAGTAAGCAAAATGAGTGACAGCCATGTGCACAAAAGCACATATTTGCCATTATAATAACAGTTAGTTTTTCAATTATTATTGTTATTGTAATATATTTAGATTTTCATAATTTCAAAGGGTAAACACACTCCCAGTCTTAGTTTGAACCATTTTAAACAAATCTGAGTCTCGGTCATTTCTCTCTGTGATTAGTTTGTAGTTATAATGAGTTCTCACATTGGCTTCTGTCGTATAAATAAATAGCAAAAGAGCCAATCTTTTGAACGGCTCTTTGAAGTGAACAGAACCAAAAGATTCAGATCCCCCAGAGGAGCCAAAAGTCCCAAGCACTAATGGGAACTGTGTGCAAACAACTACATCCCAGACAGTTGTTTCTGTGTATTTGGTTCAATTAAAAAAAAAAAGAAAGAAAAGAAAATGACCAAGTGGGCAGGGCTAAAGTTCACACTTAAACATGTTCCTCACTCATAGTTACAAAAAAGGTACACAAATACACAAAAATATCTGATAGTTAAAAATAGACAAGCTAAACTACTCTGCACGTTTTGAGAATTTTGCATGTTGCAGTTGACTTGACTTCTCTTGAATATTTTCTGAAGTAATTCTTTGTCTAGGCTTATAAAACAATATCGATATTAAGACTTCCAAAACACACCTGTTCACTCTGCAAAACATGTCATGACTCAATCGTGGATTAGCCTTTTGTTTGCACAAGGGTGTGATTATAATCCTGTGAAAAAGGGAACTTCAGAACACAATTGATCTGTTTTGTTTTAGATGTGGGCTAGTACATGATAAATCTCTTGCTTCATTAATTGAGTCACTGGTTTTCTGTAAATATGGGTAGTGTAGCACATGCATAGTCAGAGCTGTAACTTCTTGGAAATTAAATCCTTTATTACGCAAAATTGACTCTTGTGCGCTTTAAGCCACCTCCTCAAAAACATACCTGGGGTTGTGTACAAAATAGTATAATATAGGCTCTTTAATATGTGCCATGAAGATTTCTTTGTTCAGTATGTTATTGTGTATGTTGCAG